GTTAGTAAAAAGGTCAACGATACTCCGTTGTTGCCTTGTAAAGTTCAGGATGGGCTCAAAAAATGCGGTTGGGATTCGAGTCTTCTCCAACGGACTTCGTTCGAGCCGCACACAAACTCACCAAAGACGAAAGTATTCCACTTCATGTGCGGACAATTTTAGCTTTCTCGTTAGGGAGTAAAAAAGAATTGGAGGTAGTCAGTCAAAGGAATAGTGAGTTATAAAGTAGAATTGATCTCATGCCCAAGGAAATTAAATCTCTCAATGAGGAGAATTCTGCTTTGCGTAAAGCTCTTGATAATCTCAAACATTCTTTCTCAAACGTTACTGTTTCTGATGAATCTCAATCTTTGCCTCGTAAACCTCACTCTTTGACAGAATCGTTGTTGCCATGTGATGAAATTGAGCGAAGAAGGTCTATTGTAGTTATTAGTGTACCGGAAAACCCTAGCAAAAGTGCTCTGATAAAGTTGCTCACAATCATATCTGCCTCCTTCAGTTACTCGATTATATAGCAATTGATTGTGCTCCTATACCATTCTACCGCATAGGGCCATCAGCCCTCACTTCAGTAGGCTTTTGAAGGTTGTACTGTCCCGTTCGTTTTTCGCGAATTTAGTGCTGAGGCGGGCGCCTAAACTCAAATACTTCCTGTTACAGAGGAAAGTCTTTATAAGACCTTCCATCTCCAAAAGGGAACGGGAACGTATTCGGGCTCAGAGAGGTGCTCTCCCCAGTAAAAGGGTTCACTCAGTTGGCCAGACTTACTTTCAGTGTTCACATAAATTGTACACCTGCATACAATCATAATGTGGATACCATGCATATTTCGCCCAATTCGGTTAATTCATTGTCATCGTCAAATGGTTAACTGTTCCTCGGATTTATGATACTCAACTAAGGTGCGTTCTGGCTAATATCCGTTCGATACCTAGGGACATAAGCGAACTTTAGCACACGGTCCAGTTTGATAACTACGGCAGTATAGCTCTAACTGAGACATGGCTCTCAGAAGTAATTAGTAGTGAATCCCTATTCGGTCAACTTTGTACTCAATTTGTCAGATGTGATAGATGCAATAGACGTGGTGGAAGGGTTTCTTTAATTGTGAAAGAGATGTACAATGATTTGATTTGATTTGACGGCTGATTTTCAGTGAGTCACTTGTCGAAGCATATGAAGTCATGGGCATTGATTTGGATCTTGGCTATTCTAGAATTAGAATTGTACTAGTTTATCGATCTCCTTCTTGTGCATTTTCCGCTCTCGATCAGTTGGTAAAAGCTCTTGGAGATTTGGTAGCTGATAACAACAGATTGCTTGTAATTGGGGACTTCAACTTCAATTATATTCTTCGGTCCCCTCATAGGGACTTCAGTCCCGCTAGCCTCAGTGCACGTAGATTTGTCGAGCTGTGTGAAAACCTTAACCTGCAGCAATTGGTTTCAAAGGGAACCCATGGTACAAACATCTAGATATTGTCCTAAGCAACAGTGAAGGTCTTGTCAGAGACGTTGCTGTCAAGGCACCTATAGGAAACAGAGACCATGCCTTTGTCCATTTTTGGATTACGTCGCAAATAGAAAAGAGTTCAGGCGTATCCATGCAGAGGAATTTTAAGAAGGCCAACTACGATGACATTTTGGCTTATCTCAGCAACATTGACTGGTTTGGTTCATTGGCTACTGTGGAAACGATCAATGGAAAGTTCGAGCTATTCTTACTTATTCTTCACCACACTATTCAGCTTTTTGTTCCTCTCGTACCGCATAAATCTAGACGGGTGGAACTACCCAGTCACATCGATAGACTAAACTGTAAAAAGAATGTGGCATGAGAGAAAGCTAGGGCAAGTGATAGGCAAAGCGATTGGGAGGATTATAGAGAAGCCTCTTTTTTTTGAAAAATGTTTGGACAAGTTTTACAGACACATAAAGAAGAAGATCATTTATTCCAAAAGTAAGAATAGCTTCTACAGATATCTCAATAAGATCAAGGTTGCCCAATAAATGACGATAAAGAAGGAGCTGATATTTTAGCAAAGGTTTGTCGAAACGCTTACGCAAAAGATGATGATAATGAAGTATCTAGCGTCGATCCTATTTTTCCTGTCATGATTGACTCTGTTTGGTTTGATAATGAGAAAATTTATAAGCTACTGAATAGTTGGCGTAAATCTCAATCGGAAACGCCGGATCATCTTCCTTTGGACTTCATTAAAAAGGTGGCGCACATTATCTCGGGACCAGTTGCATTCATACTCAATTTAAGTTTATGAGGGCAGAGGTGCCTGCGAGGTGGCGTGTTTAATTTGTAACTCCTATCCTCGAGAAGGAACCCGCCTCGTTCATTACAGACCGGTTAGTATAACTTCCACCTTCGCTAGATTGTTTGAAAAAGTTTTCAAGCAAAGGATTGTACATCACTTGGATGAATTTAGAATCATCTCCGATTGCCAGCATGGCTTTCAGAAAGGCAAATCTACTGTTGCTGCGATGCTGCAGTCTCTCAATTACTGGACAGCATACCTAGACAACGGTCAAGGTGCAGATGTTGTTTACCTGGACTTCGCAAAGGCATTCGACAGAGTCTCCCATACTAGACTTATTATAAGCTGGCACTGGTGGGTATTCATCCTCGGATTATAGCTTGGATTAAATCCTTCCTCAGTGATCGACTCTTGTTGTTCACGTCAATGGTATCTTTTCCGAATCTGCGCCTGTGTGCAGTGGTGTACCACAGGACTCTGTATTGTCCCCCATCCTCTTCAATACCTTCACATACGAATTGCCTTAGTTAGCTGGCTCGCAGGGAGTTAAATGCGCGTTGCATTTGCGGACGATTTCAAGCTCTACTATCCAGTCTCCTCTAATTCTGACAAAGAATTACTTCAGAATGCTATCAATGATATCAGCTCAGCTCTCCTGGGCGGCACAATGGAACCTGCCCATTTCCCGAGAAAAAACCAAGGTTCTACATTTAGGTAAAGTTGTTGTTGATCTCTCATATTCACTCGATGTTGTACGGTTAGAAGGGGTGAATGAAATTAGAGACTTGGGTTACATCATGCGTAGTGATCTGAGCTTCGACGAACACTGTACTAGGATAGCCTCCAAAGCAACAGCTCTCACATTCAACCTGTTCAGAGCTTTGACAACTAAGGATGCTCTTGTGCTCCTCAGAGCTTACGTAACATACGTCAGACCTCTATTAGAATATGGGATCGTTATATTTAATCGGCACGAAGTGAAAGTTACCAACACTTTGAAGAGGGTTCAAAATACTTTTACTCGGAAGCTTTTTCTAAGAGTGCTCTTTTTCAAGTATGATTAGATTCCTTCTGGAGTAACACAGACCGCCGATCTCAATCTTGAAACTTCACGCTCAGAAAGAGGAAATTTGATTTGATAACGTTCTTCAAGATTTTTTATGGTCATTCGGGGCTCAAGCCAAATAATTTGCTATTCTTTAGGGAATCGAGAACTAGGGCAGAGCTAGCTCGGAGTTTACTAGGCTGCTTAGACTAGGTATTTCGACGGGCAAGCTAAGTTCATTCAAGAAAGCATTAGAAGGTATCTTACATCCTAATACTCTTTGTTATGTCCTTCGTTTTTTGTTTTGTATTTCTTCCTTCTTTTTCCTTCACTATGTAGCTCCTAATTAACTTTAGATTTCCTAGAAACTTTCCTCTTGTTCGTTACTTCTGGGTTTTTATGCTTTTCGCTATTTTAGTATGGTGTTATCCTGTGCAATAAACAATTACAACAACAATCACTCTGACTAATAACATGCTCTCTACAATAGTACGTTTTTGCTTCCAATGCCTTTTGAAAGCTAGTTACTAATAGCGAGCGAAATACGGTTTTCCTTTTCGTGTTGAGTGAATTTTGCATATGATTCTTTTATGAAATAAATTGGATTGCAAAAAAAAAAATTTATACATCGCATAAAATTGACACCAATGACAATAGCGATTGCTCACGCAACGGTGGCCACCGCAACCGTAGGTCCGCAATTTAGCGTCAATCGGCAGTTGTGGTCGACGACGTTCACCGTACACATAACAACGTATCACTGATGATCGACGGACTAAGGCAAGAATACAATTTGAAAAGCTGGTCACGATATGATGTATGTACAATATGTTGGCGTGATATTGGCCGAATGTACTGCGTAATACTATGAGATCAAATCACTCAGAGACAATAATGTACTTATCAGATAAGGTCGCTAAAATACAGCTGTAATGTACTTTAACATATTCGCGAATACTCAGAACACTGTTCATGCTAAGAAACCCGGATTGGCTGTTACAATTACGCTGGAACAATACGAAGCAGGAAGCCGAATTATGACAGCTTTGCCCAATTAGCAACTCAAGCTACGTACTTGCTTAGTTGGAANAAATTGGATTGCAAAAAAAAAAATTTATACATCGCATAAAATTGACACCAATGACAATAGCGATTGCTCACGCAACGGTGGCCACCGCAACCGTAGGTCCGCAATTTAGCGTCAATCGGCAGTTGTGGTCGACGACGTTCACCGTACACATAACAACGTATCACTGATGATCGACGGACTAAGGCAAGAATACAATTTGAAAAGCTGGTCACGATATGATGTATGTACAATATGTTGGCGTGATATTGGCCGAATGTACTGCGTAATACTATGAGATCAAAACAATCAAAGACAATAATGTTCTTATTTGGATAAGGTCGATAAATTACAGCTGTAATGTATTTAGAAATATTCGTGAATACTCAGGACACTGTTCATGCTATGAAACCCGGAATGGCTGTTACAATTACGCTGGAACAATACGAAGCATAAAGCCAAATTATGACAGCTTTGCTCAATTAGCAACTCAAGCTACGTACTTGCTTAGTTGGAAACTGGCGGTGCTTGAGCTAGTTAACCGTGAATGAGACACGAGATAAATGACTAGATGGGGCACTCAGGTACCCTGGGAGCATCGAGAGCTGACTGGTCTGAGATCAATGATCTTTGTTCCAGAGTGTACGGTAGGTGAGCACCAGATTGTGGCCAAGATTCGTAAAGCTGTTTGGCCGAGCCGGTGCTTGCCGAATGTCAAGATCCATCTGGTTTGGCGATCTGGTTCGAGCCCTCCGCTCTGAGCAGCGACCACCACCTCGTTTCAAGCTGAAAAATTAACATCATCCTGCACATATGTTTGCATGTATTGTATTTCATTTATCTGTACCGCGAGACATTGAACTAATGGAAAACCACAGGTTAATTTAAATCGGGAAAAGTTTTCAAACAAAGCAGTCATGGCAAAGGAGAAGCAAGTTACTAAAACACTTACAGTAACGGTGAAAAAATTCAAGAGTAACTAAGTAAGTGACAAATCGAATGCAAATCGATTAGATACTCACCTGAGAGCAGCATCGCCGGTTTTTGTGTCACCGAACGAGGCACCTTGTTCAAGTGACATGGAATGTGCATAGCATTCTAGCCACGATTGTCGTCGCCCTCGAGCTGTCTGTGACGCACCGCTGTGACAGGAGTCGTCCGATATGTCAGAACTATTACCTGGAACAGATTGGGTCTCACTTCCCACTGAACACGGAATCGGCTATGGAATTCAAGCCTATGGGATAAAGCTCAGGCATGAGAAGCGTCAAAGCACACCTTGCACAGGCACCTGAAATCAAGTTGCAGAAAAGAAAATTCACCGATACGGATGCTCATGTCGCTTTCGAGAGATCCACGACTGTCTCTCGATTCTCGTCGCCCTCGATCTTCGAGACGACCGTCTGCTGACAGAAATGACATCTTCCTGAAATGAAGCAAAGCGATGGGCATGCTTTGTTAGGTCTTATAGCATGATATTTTCCTCAATATCCTTTTGGAGTTAGATCGTCCCTAAGTAGCACAGTCGAGGAGCAATCGGTGAAAAAAGAAGTTTTTCATGTCTCTTGCAGCTGCGTCTATACTCGGCTAACATGCTTGCTTCCTACTTCTGCACAATTTCTTGGCGTCTAAAGGAGTCTCAAGTCTTATGAACAGTCTTCACAGAGGAACGACCGCTCCTCTGCTCAAGAACGTCATCGTGTTTGCGTTTCAGCAGAGGAAACTTAGCGGTATCAAGAGTCTTAGGTGGAGTTCGCCGAGTATAGCCGTAGCAAACAAATGATGCAACAGAGGCTGCGGCATACTGCTTGACACATGCTTGAAACGAAGGCAGAAACCTGGTATGAGGTCTGGACATACCTTGAATCGTTAGAGAAGGATGGACGTGCGGCACTGATCATCACCCGAGGTAGGTTCGTGCTGCTCATCGACACTCGCCGATTGCCCAGCCTCCTGAAGACAAAAGAAGTTTGACTCGATACAGTCGAACTACATCAGGGCAAATACTTTTTGAATAATTACGCTAAATTTCGTTACTTCCAGTATTAAAACAAAAAAGTAAAGGAACGGTCATAACGAGTTTGAATTCTGGCATTGATCAGTCCCGTTTTTCAGAAAGCGCCCCGAATCGGATTCTATGCCTATGTATGTGGAAACACAATGGCTGCTTTCATAGTCCGCCGGCTGGCCGACCGGCCGGCGGACTATGAAAGCAGCCAATGAAGTAAAGCGGCGAGCCGATGCACTAGTCGTCTCAAAACGAAGTCCCCATCGCTATCCACTACACCATTATCGTCTTGGTTTTTTTAGCCTAGGTGAAGATTTGTCAGGGATTCGATCCCCGAAACGTGCGTGTCTGATAACGCGCCACTAACCACTACACCACGACTACCATATACTTAATATGTGATCGCTGTCGGGTAACCATCATCCTCTTTTCTATATCTGGCTATATTAGCTGCATTTTCCAATACTTCCCTAGAAAATGGCAAACATGGTGCAGCAAGCGATGAGCATTCCCTTTTGGAATATAATCATGGAGCAAAAACAGCACAAATAACCAAAAATAGCAATAGCGTAGGCGGAAAAATTTAATTGCAAGAAGAGCAGAATGAAAATAGGTTTTGTTTGGATTGAGAATAACAATTTCAACACCGCAAGCTAAATGAGCTCAGTCGGACTTGATGAAGAGAAGTTCAGATTTAGTTCATGGGATAGAAATAGTAGGAATACAGAATAATAATCAATTTTGGTATGTTTGAACGGGAGTTTCAAGTTTTCACGAAAAAAACCTAATTGCCAATTTATCAGTACTCACCCAAGGCCAAGTTGTTGTTGTTGAAGACGATCGTCTGATTCATATCGTAGCTGTTCGACCAAATCCAACAGAATTCGCACACTACTCATAACATCATCGAAGTGGGCGGAACTGAAAGAGATCCCAAACGCTTGTCTAGTTGTACATAAAGCCAGGTTTGATAGATGAAGGCACTGTTCACTGTAAAAATGGATTGTGAGCTATCTTGGTCCTTCGTATACCGAATGTTGCGCTGTCAGATCGGAAAACAGCTTAGTTAGGGCGTTGTTTGGGCTCAACGAATGTATCGTCTGTATGCCACACCCAAAAGCGGACGAGCTTCAACGGCCTTGGAGAAGCTGCACCATTCGCAGGAGACACCCATGTTGGAAATTCAAAGAACTAGTGGTGACCCATGGCAGTAGTGTAGGACAGATTTGGACGTTTTTGGCTTAATGAGTCAGCTCTTGCATTACAACGAATGAGTTCTCGCATCAATATCCCTTCCATGCCAATTTCGTCATGGTTTCTCGTACAAGCTCTACTTTTGTTACTTTTAGGAAGCCTTGCATTTCATGAAGTCGACAGACTTTCCTGCCTTCCCTTGCCACCGATCCCCTATGCTACACTAACATTCACTTTTCGGCTCAAAAAGGATTTGTTCAAATTATCGTAAACTGTGCCTTTATGCAACTCGCGGCAGGTGGAAATTATCAGGGTCATTAATATCAAACAAATTGAAATGGGAAATCATTAAAATTGGCGTATGAGACAGCTAACGAACCTCAGTTCTTTGCAGCTCAATCCAATTACCAGTGGGTTGAGTAGGTGGACACAAACTTGTGACGCGTCTTTCATTCTGACCGGGTCCCGTGTCACAATCCTTTGTACCAATCCTGTAGCAAAACTTCATTTATTAACAATATCTATTCTTTTTTTTAAAAAAAGGTTCAGATATTCATTGCTGTTTGTATTGTTTGATCGCACGAGAATTTAAAAACAAGCAAGCGTAATCTTCAATGTAAGCAATCGAGATTTGAGATTTTTATGAAATTTTCAGGTCTCTCTGTTTTTCTGCTGTTGGTACATAAAGCGTCTGGAGATCGAATGTGAGTAAAGGTGAAAGGGTCCAAGCGAAAACATACTCGATTTGGCGTGAATGATGACTGGATGGTGAGCAGAACAGAGGGACACACATGATAACAGTTGTTGAATGGAAGCAGCATCACAACGATCCGAAAGTGCTGCCAATCCTGCCAGCAGGTCGAGTTGGCGCTGAAAAGAAGACTGATTCACATATATAATTCTAACCAATAAGAGGTTTTGCTGTTGTTACTTTGTTTGAGGAGTCGGAGTTGACGATCATGAGCAAGAATGCAGAAGTGAATTAAGCAAAACAAGCAACATGATTATAGTGCTAACAAAAGGTTTTCACTTAGATAAACAAGTGCGGAGCACTCTTCCAAGGAACGTTATGCAACACAAGATTAGGCACAGTTCACGATAAATTCAAGGTACCCTTTTCAGATTGAAAAGGGAAAGCGTTGATGTAGAGCAATGCATCGGCGGCGAAGAAAGCGAGAAAATCCGCCTACTTCGCGAAAAAACAGCTTAAACTAGTGGAAATAAAGGTAGACGAGATTACCATGACGGAAATGGCATGTGAGGGGTGTTGGACGAGATTTCGCTTGTTCCAACTGCGCAAAGAACTAATTACATCAAGTCAAAATTGTTAAAACTGTCTTACACTGCCGCCATGGGTTACGACAGATTGATTAAGTTTCCTACATGGTAGTCTTTTGACATAGTGCAGCCTCTACAACGCCGTTGGAACTCGTCCGCTATGGGTGTGGTATTCACACGATACAATCTCTGGCCCCTTATTGTGGCCTATTCGACAGGACTTTTCAACCTTATAACAGCACGTATGATATGGTATGGTATGGCCCATATTCATGCTAGGGGGGAATTAGAAACCATTTTTATCGTGGAGTGTGCTTTCGAGGCATGCTCAGTGAAACAAACGTCGAAAGACGAAAAGAGCAGCCAAAAACGAGGATCAGATGGAGAAGATGGGTTTATATGACGACGGTTCGCGCCAGGGACATGCACTTACTTATGCAACTTATCAGGGTTTGTGCAAGAACTCTTATTATTGGGCTCAAAATATCCATTTTGGAGAGCCTTTTACTCAGAGTTACGGTTGAACGAAAACGAGTTTCACTTATTCACACTGCACGGATGAAAGGTATAGCTGGAATAAGCGTACATTCGGACGAGATTCGATATCAGCAGCAAAAATGAGAGATGGAGAAGAGCGAGGAAGCAGTTCAAGGACAAGCTGTAGCAATAATGGACCAGGAAAAATTTGCGAAAAAAATTTCAAAATAAAGTATTATATATTCAACGAACCGGCACATTATCGTGAAGATACGGTGGGAGACACATTATAGCAGGCAGAAGCTTTCGACTGATGAAAGCCAGTGGAAGAAAATCAGCGACATGTGGAAGTCCTCGGACTGCTGACGACTGAAAAGGGAACTCCTCAGAAAACGATTTATTCAAGTTCAGAATGCGAGATTAACTCAAAATAGGTTTTTGTCGTGAATCGAGACAACTAATCCAGATGGAACGACGAAATGGTGAAGGGCTAAATGCTGAGCTAGACTTCATTACAACATCTTTACAGTGGGAAGATGTAATGGGATTAAAGCTCGTGATTCCAAACCCTATTCGTCGTCAGCGTTCACTTATAATATATTCATAAATAAATTAAAATTTATATGTTTAACTGCCTCAATCGGTAAATTGCAATATTCAATCCAGTGATCGGCTCCACCCACTGTATTGGCCTATTACGAACTGTTAGATAAGGCAAGGGTTAAAATCGCAGAAACTCTATTCCTTTCCATAAACTCTGACTAAACGTATGAAAGGATAAAGATCTTGGGCGTTAATCAATCACGTCTGCTGGATGCGCCCCCGCATTCGACTTCTTTTCAGAATTGCTTCAGTGCTTTTATCCTTCCAGACGAGTCTGGTACCAAATAATCGACCACGGAGGGGTGGAGAGCTTGTTTGGCCTAGGGGTATATCGATACGGGATTCGAACCTGTGACCATGCGTGAGCGATAGTGCACCACTTGCTACTGAACCACTTCTGTCTATGAAGTTTGCACTACTAAAGTAAGGTAACTCATTTGGAAAAATTGTGTTAGTCTCGTTTCCTTAGAGTTCCTGTAATGTGATGTGCCTTGTCCACCATGGAAGCTAATTTTTGCCAGCGTAAGTCCCTTGATATAAATTAAGGGTAATGGGTTTGTTTGAGGAACAGCCGATCTTCACGGTCTCCTGTTAAAGGATAAAGTTTCTGGCGTTAATCAATCCCGTCTGAGGGATGCGCCCCCGCACTCGACTTCCATTCAGAATCGTAGTGGAGTGCGTATGTGGCCTATACAATGACTTGCGGTGGCCAGCCGATGTACAATCAGTGCTTTTATCCTCCCAGACGAGTCTGGTAGCAATTGACCGGCCCCGTAGTGATGGAAGGCTTGGTTGGCCTAGGCGGGTATGGATCCGCGATTCGAACCCCTGACTGTGCGTGTGAGATAGTGCGCCACTTGCCACTACATCACCTCCTGTAAGACCCAAAAAATCTCGCAGTTTCATCTAGTGCCACCCACCCACATTCTCAGCTTATTTACTTATTTAATCCATACACTCACGTGAGGGGCAATTCAAAAGCACAAAAGATTAAGTCTCCTGCTCCAATCAACCCCTTGCCTTGGGATGCGCCCCCGCATTCTGCCTCCATTTAGAAATCATTTTCCTTTTTGCGGTAGCCGCATCGTCAAAGAATAAAGGATGAAGACTTTTTGGCATTAATCAATCCCGTCTGAAGGATGCGCCTCCGCACTTGGGCGGCTTTAATTCGGAATCGTTAAGGCGTTTTAAATGGCCTCCACAACGAATTACTGGAGCCAGCGCATTTATCTTCCCACAAGAGTTTGGTATCTTCCCACATTAAGCGAATACAGAGGGATGAATGTTTAATTGAGGGGAAGCATCGCCACGGGATCGATCAAGGGGCCTTGAGCATGCGATAGTTTGCCTTTTCCACTAAACCACCTCCCTGTACTATCCATAATAAAAGCTGTTCTTTAGGAATGAAGAAATCATAAAAACCGCAGTTGGGAAGATCAACATTAAAGAGGGTTCGCCCGTCCGATGGTGAACTCCTGGTTCTACAAGCAGCCAGAGCCGTAGGCTGACTCCTCATGCAGAGGATAGAAGTAGTCCCCTAACGATATGTTTTTTCTACTTATATTTTTGAATTCTAGATGGAATTTTCCCCTCGATTGCTCCGTCCTGTCATACTGATGTAATGCTAGACGTCAAAAGCAAACAATTCCCGGAGGCTTTTCGTAAATGTGCGGGGGAGGGAGAAGCATATGTAAATTGGGTGCTTTGAATTGAACGTCATGGCCGGCATTTAAATGAAACAGAATCGCCTGAATGAGCTATTCTGTAGACGGAATACTATGTAGTTCTTAATGGTTAATGAATCACAATTGACTCCTTGTATGTCGGGTAAACAGGGCGGAGGTGGTGTACTGGCAAGTGACGCACTATATTACACGCACGGTCAGGGGTTCAAATCCCGGATCGATGCCCGCCTAGGCCAACCAAGCCTTCCATCTCTCCGGGGTCAGTGAACTGGTACCAGACTCGTCTGGGAGGATAAAGTACTGACTTGTACATCAGCTGGCCACCGCAAGTCATTGTATAGGCCACATACGCACTCATTACGCCACTACGATTCTGAATGGA